CTAGGACTGCTGGAGTTCATGTGCCCACCTCCGTGTCAGGATACAGGCCAGTGTATGGAAGCTTGTTTTCCCTAACCTGAAAGGATAGTATAATGGTTCTGGCCCACTATTACATCCGTGATAAAGAGGCTCAGATCCTAAAAGAAGGCCAGGGAATTTGTTTAAATGTCTTTAACAACCAAGACAGGGAAAATGAGGGAAGAAAGGAATAGTGAGACTGGAAATGAGCCAGAGACAGGCCAGATTTTTGTCTGCAGTTAATAGGCCAATGCCAGTACCACCTCTGGGCCTCCCCGGCAGCCCCAGAAGAGACACACCAGGTAAAGGAGCCTGCTTTGAAAGTAGAAGCCCAGACCACTGGAGTAAGGAGTGTCCTAATCCTCCAAAACAGCCATGCCCCCTGTGCAAACTAAAAGGGCACTGGAGGAGGGATTGTCCCCTGGTCTCAAAGGAGCAGGGACTAACTCCTTCCCTGCAAATGGCTGTGACCGAGATGGGCCTGACGGTCCAAGTGGCCCCCCAGGAGAAAGAGGCTATTCTTTCTAGAAGGGTCAACCGCAGGTGACTCTTGACCTGGCAGGTAAGCCTGTTAATTTCCTGGTTAATATGGGAGCCACTTACCCTGTCTTAATCGCTCACTCTGGACCTATTTCCTCTAAAACCTGCTCGGTTGTGGAGATAAAAAGCCCCCAGATTTGGGCTCATTTTACTCAGCCTGTTCCTTACCATTGGCCTATACCTTAAAGGAAATGTAAAACAAGCAAATCAGACTTAAAAAGGACTCTGGAGAAATTTTGTCAGGAGACCTCAAGCCCTGGCTCTAACGGCTGCCCATTGCTTTCGATTCTGACCTCAATTCTGTTACTTCCTATGCTGTTAACTGGGGAGAGGCTTCACAGTCACTTAGGAAATATGGGGGACAGGCACCTCCCCCAGGGTGACCCCTCTATACATTGTAACCCCAGAAAGCCAGGGGACCAAGTACTAGTAAAAGCCTAGAGGGGGAGGGGGTCCCTAAAAGACCAGCTCACTCCTAAATGGAAGGGGACCCTTTACAGCTCTTCCGAGCACCCCAACTGCTGTTGAGGTGCAGAGAGGCAGCACCTGGGTCCACTTCCCTCGAATCAAACCTGCTTCATGTAAGTGTCCACAGGACTCCTCCAGAAGGAAGGCTGTCACTCCTGTTCCTCTGAGCCAATTGAAGACCTTAAGCTCCGCTTAAAACAGACAAAAAAAGTCAATTTCCCAAGGCTGATAAGTGCTGATAATTGTTGGAGCTGCTCATCATTGCCTTTCTCTTGGCCCTTGTTTTAAGTCTAGCTTTCCTCTTTACTTGCGCCCCGCCTGGGATCCCCATTTAACATGTGGCCCCGTTTTTAGTCCCCTTGGCTCCTTGCTTCCCCAGGTTCCTCCGGGGAGAACAAGAAAGTAACTTCATCGTCAATGTTCTGGTACTGCTGATTCTTTGTCCCTTGTCCTTTGGTCTCATTGTCAGGTTTGTGTCATCTGGGACAGAGCAGTTTCATCTCCAGACGGTCATCCGCCAGGATTCCAACCCGTCCCTCCTGAGGATGACAAGCCATGCCAGCAGCCGCTTGACCAAGCAGCCTGGGTTTTTCTTTCTCTTGCAGTTCCTCCATAGCCCCCTCCTGCAGTGGTAGGATAGTAAAGAACTTGAGTGTCCATTGGCAGGGACTATGCCCACTCTCAGCAGGAAGTAGCAAGAGTGATAGCTGCCCCTATCTCTAAATTTTAAAATTGTTCTTAATCTGTTTATAAAAAAGTAATTGTAGTTGTTTTGTTTCCTCTCTAGTCTAGATTTACTAATCTTATAGAAATAAAATGAACAAAAGACAGGGGGGATTGTAACGTTGACCCTATATAGAAGTATTTTGAGATTTAAAACCTCTGATGGAATTCAATTGGACAGTGGTTTGGCTTGGGACTTTTTGAAAGTTTTTTTTTTCTTCTTTCTTTGCTTTCCTTCCCTCCTGCCAAACCTTGATGATGCTGTTTACTGTATATTTACTATGCATATTAGTTTCCATGGTTCTGTTTACTTCTGGACTGTGCCTGGCCTGGTGGCTTGGGAGAGGTTTTTGCATCTGTCGGGATCCGCTTCTGACCCTGAAGCAGGCCAGTCCCTGGAAAGCGCTTTTTCCTGGAGCTGCCTGGCCTACTTCTCCTTTTTGGTACTAAGAGTGGGAAGGCGATCTTTGTGACAGGAGTCCACTCTTCTTCCCTTAACGCTGGCATTTTGGAATAAACCTGCTTTTCTTTCCACCAACTTCACCTCTTGTGTTTTGGCTTTCATGCAGTGAGCAGCCAGACCTTTTGCATGGTAGCAGACCCAGCCCATGGAATTCCCAGCACCCAACCAACATCCCCAGGTGTATCCACTTACTGACTGATGCCCCATTGAGTCACTGGAGGTGCTTCCCCAGAAGACTGGCTGAAAGGCGAAAGTAGAGGAGGAAGAGAGAAGGAGCCTTGGGAGTCCCCTTTGGAGAATAGGTCTGGCTTTCTATTCTGTTGGAGATTAGCCCCAGCCAGAAAATGTCAGTTCCCGTCTACCCGGTGGGGGTTCTGCGAGAGACTCATGGAAGGGAGAGAAAGGAGGTGACCTACTAGTGTATATGGATTTTCCCTGGATGAGCTGCCACTGCCAGTTGTGCCACACATTGGAGAGTAGGTTTCAGAGGGGATAGAGCCACCAGGGAAGAAACCCGGTGGTGACAGGAGAGAGCCTTCTTCCTGTACAGGCTACCAAAATCTTGTGGCTGCTTGCTAGCGGGTTGTGAAAGAATTCATGAGGCAGGTAGAAATAAAGAAGGAAGATTTATCAAAATAAAAGGAGGGTTGGCTGGGCAGAGTACTGCCCCGAGTCTTTTTCATCTGAAGTTTTATACTTTCTAACCAGGACGTAAATTGCTTTGGCCTGTAGTAGAATCTTCTATTGTGTTTGGCTTTGGCTTTGTCTGTTGGGGTGGGGGAAGGTGCAGTTAAATTGGTTATTACAACCTTTGCATATGTTATGTAAATTTAAGCCCGGAGTGGATCCCATACTGATGCCCAGACCTCTCCCAAATTACCCAGCCAGGCTTGCAAGGCTGAAGTAAATAGAATCATTGAAACTGGTATGCATAATAAATGTATAGTAAACAGAATCATTAAGGTTTGGAGGGAAGAAGGAAAAGAAAAGGAAAAAAAAAAAGCTTTCAAAAAGTCCCAAGCTAAATTACACTTGTTAAATCAAATTATACCAGAGGGCCAAACCTCAAAATAGGAGATTTAGTGCCACGGTTACAACCCCCCCTGTCTTATCACCAGACATGGCTCATCCTCTTCCTCAAGGGTGTTCAG